CAGAAAATCCCAAGCATCTGCATTACAATAGACAGAATAGCCAACAAAAGAAAGCCAAATAGTCCCATCGACCAGCACTATGCAATGGAAAGAAAAGGAGAATTCCCAGCCTCAAGACAACTACCCAAAACTCAGCATTAATACARTGATCTCAATGAAAGTCAACACGAGCCCCCTTAAAACAGCAGAGAATAAGAAGGGCATGTCATCATATATAAGCGTGCAAGAACCGGAGAGATTCAAAATCAAAATTTTTAACCAACCAGTAAAACGGAACCCTTCTCCTATCAAGCTTCTGAATCTGCCCTTTCTTCYTTGTTCGTCTGCGTACCAGGAAAGTAGAGTAGCAGATGGTTCTCGCCCTAAGAGGAAAAAAGGGATGATTAGGGTTTTAGAATTTAATGGSAAATATGGGAATAGCATAGTCGATGATCGAACTTGCCTTTATCGACTCTTCAAATCACTTCTAATCAGCTTCTTGGAACGACTTGGAATGCCTCCTTGACTTCTCGACTCCTTTGTTCAATTGCTCTCAGTGGTGATTTAATATAAGGTGAGATTGAGTGAATCTCTCTCARTTGGTAGCTTTCCGTTTTTGGGTGGGAGACGAAGTGGAGAAGAGGAGACGTTCCTCTCTCAAAAACGAAGCAGCAGAGAGTGGCGCACGAACACACCAATGTTTTTTGGAGGGAAATTTTGTTATTCAGCCGGTCCAAGAAAAATTCATGACGGGCCGGTTCAATGTTTTAAAACCGCCGCCCTGTTTTCTATTGATCGGTGCTTTGATCCAATCTTGATGCTTATGCTGAAATCGCCAGTATACATGGGTCTACCCCGGCATTTTGTTTAACCGCCGGTTTAAAAACGCCGGCTTAGCCGGTTTTTCTTGTAGTGAGGATAAGGAGTTTAGAGCCATTAGGGCCAAGTTTGACATGGCAGATTCCATTTGGTGTTTGCCATGGATTCCCACTTCACGTAGGAGACCAAATCCAGTAGGTACGACATAGAAAGCACATTCAGCGAGCACTTTGTAATAAATATTCTAATAACTGTTAAAAGTCGTCAAAAAAGAGTTTGAAAGTACTTATTTAACACGTTTAGTATGACGTGCCTAACTGATACCGACTCAATTCACCCGGGTCTGCAACATGCACCAACATTTGCCTCCACGACAAGTGGAAGTGATCCACATCACTGTTCTCCCTGCCATCCAAGCTTGGGACGTATGGTGGTCTCCAGCCCAGCAATGACCATCTGCCATTCCTCATCATCAGTCCATGTGGTGGTTTGACCGGAGGTCCAAGTAATGACCAATCAAGATCCAGTCTTGCTCTAAGTACATGTATGCATCTGATAGACTGATACAGGTCCTCCATCCACTATGCCTGAAAGTGGTGGTGTGAGTGTAGAGTTTTAGGTTTAACATGGCAAGCTGGAATCCTTAACAAAGATTTCAGCATCTTCTCTATATCTAGCATCCTGCAACTAACCCACAGACTTGATGATTATCAAAGTAAAGTTAAGCATTCTCATGGTGTAAAGTGAAGTATGAACACTCTTTCTTTAATTCTTTGTCTACTCTTTGAGAGTGAACCAACCTTCTTTCTTTCTTTCTTTTTTACATGAGATCGAAATCAAAAGTGAATCGAATAATGGGCAACAGTATTTCTTTTTTAATGACCACCCATCAAAAATCCAAATAGCATCTTTATTCGTTTTTCTTAGAGATCCCCAACCAAGCCTTGAGTATCAACTTGTTGTGGTTATCTGCAAGTACATGCTCATGGATAGGGGTGTTAATGGACCGGTTTTGGATTGGATACAACCTAATCTAAATTTTATCAAGTCGGATTTAAATGATTCGTTGTAATTATTGGATTTGGCCAATCTAAAATAAATTGGTCTATATTCTTATCAGTCTGAATCGGACCTAAACCAAATTCCCAATAACTTGATCATGAGACCAAACGACCCTTGTCCAATTTAAAACCGATCAAAACTGAAATCCATATAAAAACACTTTTATGAAGGCACTCTTACAAAAGCACTTTTATAAAAGTAATTTTATGAAAAGTATTTTTACAAAAGTAAATTACTTTTCATGTAAAAGAACTTTTATAAAAACACTTCTATAAGAGTACTTTTATACGAAAGCACTTTATAATAAAGTGCTTTTACGGAAGTCTGCGCTTAAACCCCTCCAAATGGCCACTTATGGTTAGGGGGCTTAAAAGCATTTTGACTTTAGATTGTTATGATTTTAAAAGCAATTTTTAGTATTTTTACCAAACAATCAAAACACTTCTTTGGCTCATATTTATTTTCCTTCCATCCCCCAAAGCTCAAAAGCAAAAGCTTGTTCTAAGGAAGCTATGGTATATAAATATATAGAATATGGCAAGTATGGATTCAAATATACATCAAAAGTACATATATCTACTAGTTAATGTCCCTATATGGTGATCACTTAGTAAGCACTAAGCACACACCTAATCCATACATAGGGAGAAGGTTAGGGGTGCTCATAAAACATCTAAAAATCAAAAAACCAAACCAAAAAATGTGGTTAACCGAACCAACCAATATGTGTGTGTATATATATATATATATATCACATATTATTTATTTTATATATTTGGAAAAATTCTTTATCAGTACCCTATACTTTGGCTTGAGTGACAATTTGGTCCCTGAACTTTCAAAATGTGACAATACAGTACCTACCATTAACCATTCCGTTAATCAGCCGTTAAGTGACATTTGAAAAGTCAAAAATGCCCTTTGAATTCCATCTAATTCTCTTTATCAACCATCCAAACATTGACAAATAAAATGAACAGTCCTAAATTCTAGATTCTTCTAAACAGTCACCAACTTTTTTGAATAGAAGATGCTAGGATTTGGGACTGTTCAGTTTTTTGTCAACATTTGGATGGTTGATAAAGAGAATTAGATGGCATTCGAAGGGTATTTTTGACTTTTCAAATGTCACTTAACGGCTGATTAACGAACTAGTTAACGACAGGTACTGGATTGTCATATTTTGAAACTTCAAGTACTAGATTGTCACATTTTAAAGTTTGGGGACCAAATTGTCACTCAAGCCAAAGTACAAGGTACTGATCGGGAACATTCAATAACAAGTAGTATCTATCGGTTTGAATATAATATTACATATATTTATAATATATAATACAAATATGAAAAACTAAATAATCGAATCAGTCAACCAATTAACAAGTAGTACCTATTCGGTTTCGGTTTGAAGATATAAAAAAAAAAACAAAAAAACGATATAACCATTTTGATTTCAAAAAAAAAAAAACCTCCATAATTCGATTAACTGAACCCTAAGCACCCTTAAATAAGATTGTCATTTGGCTAAAATCTTCGACATACAAAAATTACAAACTAAAAGCTTAATTTGGATTAGACTACGCATACATTTCCATTCCAACATATAATAAATTAGCAAGGTAGAAGACTATAAGGGTCCGTTTGGTTCATAGTTGGAATCAGAATCAGAATGATTAATTTTCATTGTCTGTTTGGTTCACACAGGAATGGAAATTAAAATCAGCAGAAGTGGAATTTCATTCTCAAGGGAGGGGCAGGAAATGGCCATTCCCTCAAATGGGGGAATGCCATTCCAACAGGAATAAGAATGAGATTTCGATTCCACCCAACCAAACAGTTAGCTCATTCCCATTCCAATTCCAGACCCCTGTTCCTGCAAACCAAACGGGCCCTAAGTACATTTGATTATGATTAACTTATAGCTAAATTATGGGATCCATGTTGGATCCCTTGGGCTAAAGAAGCAAGCCTTAACCCTAGAGTTGAGCAACTCAAGTCCAGCAGCAGACTTGATGCACCTCGGAGTCTTGTATTGATTGATCGAACCCCCCTGGCTAATGCAAAGGTCCATCAACGCATCGAATGTCCCTGCCCCCACCAAGCGTATCTCCAAGGGACCCACAGACTTATCGTATGCACGGCATCGTCTATACACATAATCAAGCGACTCCTCTACCGTAGAGCAGCACTCCGGCAGGAGGTGAGCATCAAACAGAGATACCACACCGTTGGTCGTCGATGAGTGCTGCAGGTGCAGCACCTCCCAGTACAACACGTAGTGCCCAGGTATGGTCGACGTATCAGCATAACTAGTGTACTCTACAAGTAGAGCATTGTATGGTTCTAACAGCTTCTTCGCCATGGACACGCTCTTGTGAAGATCCTCTTCGTTCGTCTTATCGGTGTCGATGCTCAATACAACATTCCTCCGGCAGATGAATCGGAACTGTGGAGCGCGGTTGTAAAATCCGGTCACCTGGAGCACATCTCCGATGCGATATCTATAAAGTCCTACTCCCAAGTCCCAACAAAGAAGAAGAATCAGTTTTAATTTGCTTTAGTCAGGTTTAATTTAGGATTATTCTCTTACTAATCAATCAATGCTTGACTGACTTACCAGCAAAGGTTGTAACGACAAGTTCGTAATAGCAGCCAGGTCTAACATGGGCAAGATCGACCAGCTTATCAACTGGCACTACTTCTTCTTCATTGCCGGCGTCCATCATCAGCAATAATCGCCCGTTGTCACCCAAGGGGATGAACTCAAAGTAACCCATGTTGGGTAAAAGAGTGTATGACACTTCTGCGGGATCACATAAGGGATTCAAGTTGACGCCGAAGTAACACTCAGATGAAGCGTACATGGTGCAGACCAAAGGTAGCTTCCCTCCACTGTAGAAATTGAGGGCCGGTATGTATTGGGCCATGGTCCCAGTGACTACAGCTTCAATGTACTTGGCTCTAGGCCATAACTGACACAGTATCCCCTTCCATGATTTACACCTACAGATGGCCTCGATCTCATCGGCAAGAAGTGGGTTGGGTGACCTTAGCACGTCTGACATGGCTGTTCGACATCCGGGATCGACTATTGTGGTAGAGTCGAGAGAACCAGTTCTTATGTCATTGCACAAGTGTACCCAGTTGCGCTCAAGGAAGCTAATGGCTCGGAGGAAGGCCGACGCAAACACAGCTCCAAGACGTAACACTTGATGTCTGTGGACTAAGCCGGCTAGGAGTTGGCAGTACATGCTCTGCCTGTTATCAGTGCAAAGGATGGCCTGGTCGGGGCTGGTGTAGTCATTAAAAGGGTCCGGCGGTCGACACTTGAAGTGTTTGCTCTTGTAATAACTGGTCAGGACAGGCCGTGTGGGTATGCCGGAGGGTGTCGGCGTCTCACTCTTCACAAAGTAGAGGTACATGGCCTTACCCTTGTCGAGGCCTGGGACATACCTGCAGGGAAAGGGAAAGCCAATAGAGAGAGACCTGGTTAATCAATCAAACATTCAAACTACAGGAATCAACGATCTTCATGGTTAAATAATGAACAATTGACCAGGTTTGGGTTGAGAATGCCTGAACCGGTGCCCGGTGGCTGGACCAGCGAAGCTTTTGTAGGGATTTGTTGGCTTTTTAGTGGACTGTTTTGATTTATATATAGGTCCACCATATCCATCAAAAATCAATTGTCTACGTTATAGCTAGGCAGATTGGACGTTAATGCAAATATGGAAACTGGAAAGTCTTACTGGTTCATGATCGGCATAATGAGATTATACAAAAAGGTTCTACGGTCAAGATCCTCTGCGATCGACGGCATCAGCTTTTGCTCTCCAGCCGAAGTCCCAGAACTGGTAATTAAGAACCGTAAACAGCAATATAATACATAAGGGGACTCCATCTCAAACATAACAAAACAAAGAATATAGACCATAACACCATATATAAAGCTCTAAAATGGCTAACTAGCATATTGCAATGAAGACTAAGGAGTGTTATTTGCTTCCACCCTCTATTTGGGTTGTCTCTTTGTGTGGATTTTTCTCTCATTTCTTTTTAATCTTCATGTGGGGTGTGCATGTATGTGCCTGTGTTTGTGTCATCTCTTTCAAGTTTCAACTTCCAAATTCCAAGTCCATCTGAGAGAAAGAAAGACAAACAGACCCACCTGCGTAGCATCTCAGTTATGGTTTGGCCGGATATAAGGGAAGAGTCTTCACCATTGGCGATTCTCTGAATGTATGGCTGGATATCAGCGTAAGTAACGACCGGAACAAGACGCTTGAACGTTGTCACCTCGGTGGGTTCTTTCATATACTTGTTCAAGTACTCGGTGTTCTTGTTTTTCATCAAGATGTCCTTTAAAAGGTTCACCTGAACTTCCCCAGTCCTCTCTGTTAACTTCTCCAGTTCCCTCAGTGCCTCCTCCCCTTTGTACTCTAACTTCTTCCCATCCATATGAGAGAGAGAGAGAGAGAGAAAATTGAGAGAACAAATACAAAGAACCTTCCACAATGTGAGTCTATTTATAATAATACTCTCTGGCTAAGATATTATTCTGATTACTAAAGGATACCCATGACTGATCAATTTTCTTACGCATCTCTAATACGATTTGATTCTGCCAGTACTGTGGGCCCTCAAGAGCTTTTCTTGATCGACTGGTGCAAAATAATTGGCTTCACTCCTGATGTTATGGCGGTAGCCCAACTTGATTGATTTCTACCGGTTTGTATCCAAATTGTGCAGTTTTTCTACGACCCATTGATGAGCAAAATCAATAATGGCCGTGTAGAAGATATGACGACACCCAAATCGAGAAGGGTTTTCTAAATTATAGACCTTATTCGTCTTCGTAGTCCTTCCAACCTGTACCTGTTTCAAAAACCGTAATGGATTCGATTTTAAGAATCTACATCTAATTTTTTAATATTTTTTATTATATATAAATAATAAATTAAATAAGTGAAATTGTGAAATAATACATATACAACAAAATTTTTAATTATTTGATTAAGACATGTAAAAAATACATAAACTATCAATTATTTATTGGCATGAGCTGTCAAACTAGGAGGATATTCCTTAATTCAAGGGACAATTCCTATCCGGAGTTAGTGATCACTTAAGCCAAGGAATAATAATCCTTATCATAGGAGTAGTTTGTATAGAACAAGAAAAGATGGAATAAGGCTTGTATATATATATTCATTCCCTTTAAAGGAAAAAAAAAAGAAAAGAAAGAATAATATCTTTCGTTCTACACGAATTGTCATGGTATCAGAGCATCGGTCCTACAGTGAGGGCATTCAAGCGGTGATCCTACAGTGATTGGCCACCCGTGCTGAGCCCAGAACGGTCGGCGAGCCCAACCTTACCTCCTCCTCTGTTAGTGGTAGCAGCATTGATCTTGGCAGCGATCTCCTTGGCCGCGTGCTTCTTAGGCTTTGTCCTTCTAGTCATGGTTGGTTCTCTCTCCGCCTGATGATCAACGACAAATCACCCAAAAACCAGGAGAGATAAATAGAAGTTCGGAGCAGCGATAAAGTAGTCTATCTCCGACGTCGGAAGTCGGACGCAGCCGGATAGGCGATCACCTCTTCCTCCGCCCTACGGACGCAGCCGGATAGGCGATCTCCAAAGGACCTCTGCACGTTCAATCTGCTGGGCAAATTTATCGGTTCTGTGGAGCATCTACGAAGATCATCATCAAGATCACGTTCTTGAGCCGGATAGGCGATCTCCA